ACAGAGTCTACTTTGCCGAGGCTAAAAGCCTCTCAGCCACTTTAAAAAGTAAAAAGAGAATATTTGAATAGCAGGATCTGATCTTCACAACGCTAACTAGCATAGCATTGACTTATTAACAGAGTGATGTGTTCTTTTAAAAGGATAACAGATCCATTTGCTTAGATTCTGCCTTTCTGCCAGATGTGGTCATCATCCAGGACGTGTTTGGTGTCTGAAGTTTGCTTCTCGGGTTTGAGCTCTGCAGCTATGAGGCCAGTGTAGCTAACATGTAATGGAAGCGGTCAGCTGATTAGCGTGGTGCTAACCGCACGACTAAATCACCACACACTGGTTTTAAACCGTGTTCAGAATCTCTGTTAGACTTAATTATGTGGTTTCTGACACGGTGCCACATACTTTTAGCTGTAAACACAGACAAGTGTACATTAGCATGGCTGTAAACAGTGTCGAGTAAAGCTAGTTTTGAATTTTGTCTGTGTTTCTTGCTACTGAAACACCTCAATTTCCCTTCGGGAGCAATAGAGTTCTATCAGTCTGTCTGCCTGTTTGTCTGTCTATCTATCTATCTATCTATCTATCTGTCTGTCTATCTTTATAGATAACAGTGTATTATTATGCCGGCGTTTTAGGGCCACTGTTAATAAAAATAAAAATAGCAGACTTTGAGAATAAAAGTCATAATATTTCAAGAATAAAAATGTTACTATTTTGAGAAAAGTCATAATATTTTGAGAATAAAGTCGTACGGCATGATATTTCAAGAATAAAGTAGAAAGATTTCGAGAGTAAAGTCATACTATTTCATGAAAAAAAGTCGCAATATTTCGAGAAAACAGTCGTAGAATTACGACATTAAAGTGACATTAATACCAGGAAAGGTCGCAATATTGTGGCCAAAGGCTTTGTGAAGGGAAGCAGCGCCTCCTGGTGTTAAATGAGAGGCGGTGAGTTGGTGGAGTTATACTTTCATATCAATTCACCCATAAAGAAACACTCAGTCTCCCTGTCTCTCCTGCACATCAGCACCAGCCTGTTATTAGGATAAGACCAGGCTGAGCAGGAAACTGAGTTTATCTAGAATAAAGAGCCAGATGGACTCGGAGGAAACTGTCTGTCTGTGTTGTTGAAGGAGAATCTCAGGCAGGGTCGTCTACGCGGCTATCGGGGGCTACATCTCCCCCCATTCAAAGAGGGCATGAAGTTTCACAGACAGTGAGAATGATGATCAAAATGATCCACAAAGAGACAGGAGTGAGTGGAGCTCCGGCGCCAGTACAGCAACCGAGACCCCAACACGTTATGGCAGCCACCCTACAGTTAGCCCCCCTACAGTTAGCCCCCCTACAGTCAGCCCACTTTATCCTCCAAATATTACGACTTTACAAGATATTACAACTTCTACTACTTGTTAGCTACATCAGCCTCGTATCTCCAGTGATAAAACCCAGTTCTGTAATGGAGATGAAGGAATGTATCTGAAGGATGAATCGATCTGATAACATTGGGCCTCATTCACCAACAGTTCTTAAGAAGAAATTTCTTCTTAAACCCCACTCAGGCAGTTTTCATGAATATTCTAACATTCACCACTGTTTTCTCATCTGGGATTTGTCCTTAGTAAGTAGACTTTGTAGACATTTTCTTAAGACCTTTCTCAAAAATAAATTTAATAAAAAATTTAAGACATTGGTTAATGAGGCCCGCAGTCTCTTATTCGTTTTAATGTTACACAGAAGCTTAAAATGAGACTAAAATACAATCTTGTGCTTTATGACTTTCAGGATTCGTCAGTCCAAAAGCTAGTAAACTAGCTACCTTCGCAAGCAGCCGACGAGCTCTGTACGATTTAAAATTTGGTTTCCTTTTAAATGACGGAAAACTACGTCCAAGTATTCCCTCCAAAAATAAAAAAATACAGATTTTTAATCGTTGGGTTAAACTGGAATGATTGAAAGAAGATACACTTAGCCTAATATCAGAGCTTGGAAACTGCCTGTTCATTAATTAGACCAATCAGAAGCAACCAAACGACGACAGGCCGCGACATCACAACCACCACTAACTGGCAGTCTGGCATGTTCAGGGTTTCAAGCCAGAAAACGTGGTCAAAATAACAAGCCTGGACTTCAATTTATAGAAAATAACCGCAATTTGAATCACAGTCGCAATATCGATCAGAAAGATCACAATTAGAACAGAGATTTTTCCTCCAATCGTCCAGCCTTTACTGTACCAAAGGGGCTGCAGGTCAGATATCATCGTATAGAAGTTATCTAATGTGCTTAATTATGATTTCCTATGTGATGAAAGTAGAAACACATTAACAATAAGCTGTAAAGCATTTCTTAGCAACCAGTGCTCTGGTGAGGGCTACAGTTGTTCTGGGAAAAACGTAGCTTAGCTCGAAAAAGCTAGAACGCTTCTAAACCAGACTGTGTTTTATTAAACAACACAGTTTAAGGTGAACGTGTGGTTTAATCATTCAGCGATATGCTAACTGGCTAACTTCCAGCACTTGTTAGCTACATTAGCCTTGTAGCTCCAGCGCTAAAACAAAAGACGCAAACTTCAGACACCAAACGTGGCTCGGATGATCGGCTACGTTTGAAGTAAATGAGGACATTAAGACTTTTTGCCAGGTTATAATTTTAAGGAGGACCGAATGAATAAACAGGTCATACTTAGCCAAAAGTAAAAGACCAGGGTTTACAAGAACGTCAAACATGACACAAAAAAAATCTTAAAATATATAAAACAAAGTATAGAAATAATCCACATCTTTGCATTTCATTTCATTCTGTCTCCTCACACTAACACTAGACCCACGGACAGTCGGGGCAGGAAGGAAAACTGGTGTATTCATTGGGAAAAAAATGCAGTCATCTTTCAAAACTGACCGATCCGCTCGGCTTGGGAACCAAATAGAAAGATGACGGGGTTTTATTCCCCATTCAAGGACGGACCAAATACAACCACTCGCACACAAAATCAAGTCAGAAAACATCAGCTGCTTGTTATTTACCACCAAGCAGCTAAACGAGGCTAAAAAATTACCATAAAAAAAGGACGAGAAAAACAAAAACAAAAAAAAACGAAATAAAACACAAAATCATTCTGTGCTGCATCGCTGAAACCCGGCTGCGACTCCCAGGAAAGTCTTTCGAGTCTGAAACGTGTTCTTTTTAATCAGACTTGGACGAGATTTAAGCTCTTTGAGTCTTGTCTGAGTTTCGGCCCTTTAGCGGCGCAGCCAGTGTGATTGTCTCTCTCAGGGTTTGCTCTGTGGGCAGGTTTATTATGGGATGATGCTGCAATCCTTCGTTCTTCCGCTCGTCTGTTCAGAAATCCTCTTTCTTAAAAGAAATTCCACCAATTTTTTCATAACTTTCTGCAAAATTCAACAGTAAAGATGTAAAAAGAGTCATCCAGAGCGGTTTGGAGTAAAACGCTCCGTTTTAGACAAACTTTCCGAGTCAGAATCGTTCACAGTGGTGGTGATAGGAACCAGACGTCCACCTCTAAAAGCTGCCTAATAGAAAGTTACTACATGAAATGGTTATGAATTCACTGCCTGATGACTGAGACACTGTTTTACAAAGGTTTCGAGAAGATTGTGCCAGACTTAAAATATTTTCCTGGTGGAGGGATACACGCAGGGTGCTGTGAGCAAAAATAGTCCACAAAGAAAATTTCAGATTTTACCATCATCAACATTCAATTTAAAAACTCAGAAGACTCGTGTAGGTTCACTGGTGGTTCTGGATAGTAAATAAAATGTCTATATCTGTGTTGTAGTCATGGCGACCCCTGGTTCCCTTCACTACCAGTGTAAAGAGATCTGAACCATTTCACACCAAACCACTCTGAATGACTCTGTTTACTTCTTTTAATGAATGAATTATGCAGAATATTTGAAAAATCTGTGGTTTTTAAGATCCAACATAAAGGAAAAGGCATGAAATTAAATTTACGTTTATTTATTTTCCCCTCTTAGCCCAAATGTAGTGAATCAGCCGAGACGTGTCTGGTCATGTCTGGACATGTCTGGAGACTTTAGGTTCAAACTGCTACGATGCTAACACGCTATGGGCAGGTGCAGTGCGCTATTAGCAATGTGCAAACTGCACACAGATCTATTTCATTTTAAAATAGACTTGCTTATAAGGATTCGGACACTTGTCTGTGAAAATGGACCAACATTCAAGATGCCGCTAATACTGTTTTTAGCCTGGGGCTAACTGCACAGATCATCTTACTCGCCTCAAGGCGTGTGGAGATTCAGTATCTCTAATGAACTTGATTATGTGGTTTCTGACACTGTATGACACACTGTTATCTATAAACATGGACTGATGTATGTTAGCATAGCTAAAAACATTAACAACCACCTGGAATCCCCAAGTTTGCCCTTACTTGTTCATGTCCATGTGTAACAGCACGTCATACGGTGTCAGAAATCACTTAAATCAAGTCTACTTTAATTTACTGAACTCCATACGTGATGGTTTAGTCGGAGAATTACCACTCTGTAATGTCTTCTGGGTTTCCTCAACACTAGAGGGCGCTCCTGAGCGAGTCCAAAATGAATGGGTTGATATGGAGCATTTGAGCAAAATCATAGTTTATAAATGCTTAAACATTTTTAATGTAAAACAATCCAACCTTTTCCTGAACAAGGAATAGCATAAAACATGCACTGAGCTTTTAAACTCGAGATATAAGAGTTTAAAACGGCGCCTCATGAACGTTCATGACATCAGTGAGCGCGAACAGCCAATGAGCTGCTCCGCTCGCCAGCCAATCAGCACTCAGTAGCAGTAATGCCCGCCTTCTGCTGCCCAAAACCCGTTTGCTGTGGAAAAAAAGGAAACATACAGGCGAGTTTTCTTTGTTGTTTTAGTGAAATCCATCCTTTTACTGTCTAAAATTAAAGAAACGTTCTGGTTCAGTGATTAGAAACTATTTTAACTTTTCGTTTTTAGCCATTGAGCTCCATTCACTCCCATTCATTGAGGACTCACTCGTGGGCGCCCTCTGCTGTTTAGCAGTCCTGTTTTTGATATAACGGGGGAAATAGGAAGCGGCCAGACTCCTCATAAACCAGCTCTGGTTTAGCTTCTCCGTTAGCCTCCGTTCAGCTCCGACGCTGAAGTAAAGAAGCTGTGTTCGGACTACATTTGTGCTAAGGGGGGTAAATCTGATTGTTTGCCAAACTGTTCCTTTAAAAAGGCGGCTAGCAGACGAGCCTTGTGCTGTGGAATAACTCCGCTTGGTTGGCTCCTCGCTAGCTGCTCCACTGGTGGCCAAACGCAGCTTGTGGTCATCGCGCCGGTGTGAATGAAGGTGCAGGTCTGAAGGTCGGGGGGGGTTCCAGTTTTGGGGGGGTGTTAAGATGTATGCGTGTGGGATCCTCACAGCTTCATGTGAGCCACAGTTACAGTTTCTCGATGCTTTTGAAAAACATAAACGTTGGTTCTGCGGTCCGTGAGGGTGCGTGGAGGTCGTAAACGATGCTCTGTATCGTTCAGAGCACTGACTGTGTGATAAGTAGCATATATAATATATATAAGGAGGAGAGTCTGTAGTCCAGGTGAGGGGTCAGAGGGCACATGGAGACCGTGACAGTACCAGAGAAAGGCACCATAAGGCAGAGAACAGCCGCTGCAGCTGCTAGTCCGGCCTGAAGATGGGGATTTTGGGTAGAAACTCTATTAGGATCACCTGCGCACATAAGAGACAAGAGAGAACCGGTGAAAACAAAATACTGAGGTTACGATCCAAAAGTCTCATACTTGTACACCAGAGAAGCACTTTACTCGTGGTATCCAGGTTCTGACAGTTCATTGCAATATAGGTAATTAATTTGATTCTTCAGCTTTTGAAGGACAATTTAAAAGTCCATAAAAGCTACATAAATAATAAATAAATAGGTTTAAAAGCTAATCAGCAAACAAAAAGAACAAAAATAATAATTAAACAAATTGTAAATAAACAGATTAACAAAAAAAACATTAAACTACAATAAATACTAAATAGATCAGTTAGAAAAAATAAAATAAATAAAAAGCCCATAAAAACAAGCCATACTATAAAAAATTTGGTTGAAAAACTAAACGACTCCATAAAAACTAAATAAAAAGTGAATAAATAGGTTTAAATTCTGACAAAAACAAAACAAAACAAAAACTGCAATATAATAAAACGTAATAACAATAAAAAAAAATAAATATATATATATATATATATATATATATATATATATAGTATATATATATATATATATATATACACACATATATATACACACACACACACATAAAAAAAACATTTAATAACTTTTTATTATATTGTAGTTTTTGTTTTCTATTATAATTTAAACCCGTTTCATATATATGTATATGTATATATATATATATATATATATATATATATATATATGATATATATGTATATATATATATATATATTCACACGAGGAGGGTTGAACCAGTACAGTTTCACATTTCAGTGAACTCGTTCACTTTAAGGATTTATCGATGCAGCACTGAAACAGCTACACTCTTCATAGGCTCACTGTATGAGGGCTGCGTGTGTTTGAGGGACTTACGTATTCCATCATGTTGTTGGTTTCACACTTCCTTTTGCTCAGCCTCCAATGCAAACACAGCTGAAAACAGAGACGGGTCAGCGAGAGGAACTGGACACGAGAGAGAGAAAAAATAACTCGGCGCTGGACACAAACCACGCAACCACACTTACCTTGTGATAGAGTCGACTGTTCTCCCACTCCAGTAGCTTCTCTATGGATCTGCGCGTCTGAGAGACAAAGAGGGAGGAATGAACATACAGACTCTGGACAGCCAGGTTATTAGATACTACTACCTTGCATCTACACTCACTGGCCACTTTATTAGAAACCCCTACCCTATACATCCCCTTTATAGGCGTGCAATTAGCTCCTGTACCCCGTTCATCACTGGAAAGGGACCGACAGCAGTGACTGTAGTCTTGTAGGGTCATGCATGTTATGTTACCGGGACAACTTGATAACCTTTCAGTGCTGGATTATGATGAAATCCGCCACTGACAAGCGTACGTCCCCTTTAATTTATAGAGATGGACGTGGCGGACGGTAAGAGAGGCTGGTCATTGTGTTAGTTTTATCCTGGGCTTGTAATGAGTGGTATATAGAATTTTAAGTAGCCCATCATGCACCGGTCAGGCATAACATTATGACCACCTCCTTGTTTCTACGCTCATTGTCCATTTTATCAGCTCCACTTACTATATAGGTGCACTTTATAGTTCTACAGTTACAGACTGTAGTCCATCTGTTTCTCTGATACTTTGTTAGCCCCCTTTTACCCTGTTCTTCAGTGGTCAGGTTCCCCCATTGGACCACTACCCCTTGTACCTCAGTTCCAAGGGGTTAGGATAACGTTGTAATCGAAGGTTAACAACTCAGTATTAAACACACTGTGATTCGTTTAATATTCAAAAGAGTTTTAAATATGATAAAATGTGGTTAAACACATTTTAACTGGCAGTGAAAGTTTAGTCCATCCTTTAGTCTCTATCCTTATGCCCACCCCAATCACAATCAACTTTCCATTTCATCCTCAGGGTCTTTAGGGAGCTCAGTCATGCTGGAAAAGGAGAGGGTCTTCCCCAAACTGCTGACACAAAGCTGGAAGCATATAATGGTCTCACATCAGCCCCAGCCCATCATCCCATCTCCACCAAACTGGTAGGTAATGTTCTCCTGGCATCTACCAAACCCAGATTAATCCATCAGACTTCCAGATCGTGAAGTGTGATTCATCACTCCAGAGAACACGTTTCCACTGCTCCAGAGTCCAGTGGCGGCGAGATTTACACCCCTCCAGCTGACGCTTGGCATTGCACATAGTGGTTCTTAGGCTTGTGTCCAGCTACTGGGTCATTTTACAGAAACGTCCATTTTTGTGTCTCTAGCATTTACAGATATATTACACTTCAAAAACATGTTAGGTTTACAATTTGTTTATATTTGAAAATAAAACACTACATTGTTTTAACAGTTACACCTTTTTGAGCCTCAATTCAGCAATATTGGTTTTTAAATCAATTATCTAGAATTCCAAGCATTGCAGAAGAGCTCGTCCCCACCTCACAGTCATGTGTGAAGGGTGAGGCCATATTTTGAGGTAAAAAACTTTTTTTTCTTTAGTTTTAATTGCAATAATCTATACATGACTATGAAATATATGAATTAAATGACATTAAGAAAACAAACAAATATTATAAAATATATAATGAAAGTTGTGTCCCCAGGAGTCGTGTCACTGGTGTTACTGCGTAACAAAAATCTCTTATTTTGAAATAAGTCACACTGATGACATCACTCGACTTCCTTTTACCTGTTTTCTGAGGATCTATGAGGAAAAGCACATGGTGAGTCCACTGTGTCTTTCAGTTATCAGAGATTTTCTCATTTAGCTCATGATTTCATATGAAGCTTTTAGCTGAAGTCACTGGTGTGACCGACTTTATTCTGAGGTAGTTGTGAAAAAATAGAATACAAATGGATTAAATTACATATTTTAGTGGATATTCTATGATTGATGACATGTGGTTTGATGCTCTGTAGCAGGTATTTAGTAAAATGCATTTTTCATTAAAAATGTCTCTGGTGTTTCCTTTCTTATGTGTAACACCAATGAGGTTCAGTAACACCAGTGACTCCTATGGAGAGACAGAAAAGTGGACGTTACTTTAGAATGACCCTACTCAGCCAGGCAAACTCACTTTATGAAGCTCCCAATGCAAAGTGATTGTGCTGATATTGTATTCAGAGGCAGTTTTGAGCAAAAATAGATGATTTTTATCCGCTCTGTGAGTTTGCATGCGCTACCACTTCGTGGCTGAGCTGTTGTTGCTCCTAGACGCTTCCATTCCAAACTGACTTGTAGCAAAGGTGGCATCAAATCACTGAGCTTTTCAGTACGACCCATTCGACTGCCAGTGCTTGTCTGTGGAGATGTGTGAATACTGTGCTGGTCAGTGGGGTCACTCACCCGTTTGCTGAGGCAGATTACAGGCCACAGGCTGAACCCCAGCGTGCAGCAGCAGCACAGACAGCCGCACAGCAGCCACCGCACGTTTACAGGCAAAGTCTTCCTCAGGCAGCCGTTCACTCGGTTTATGCTGGCTTTAAACTCCTCCGGTGCTACCTGACCAGGAGAGCAGACACGTACACGTTAATCGTCCGGCTCGATGACCGGCGTGAATGAGAGGCGGAAAGGTCAGGAAAAGGACCGACACTCTAATCCACTGATTTTTCAACATGTCTGCATAACTGAGAGGCTAAGCTGTAATCAGAGTCGTCATTTACACCGATCAGGCGTAACATTATGACCACCTCCTTGTTTCTACGCTCATTGTCCATTTTATCAGCTCCACTTACTATATAGGTGCACTTTGTAGTTCTACAGTTACAGACTGTAGTCCATCTGTTTCTCTGCATACTTTGTTAGCCCCCTTTTACCCTGTTCTTCAGTGGTCAGGACCCCTATGGACCCTCACAGAGCGGGTACTATTTGGGTGGTGGATCATTCTCAGCACTGCAGTAACACTGACGTGGTGTTGGTGTGTTAGTGTGTGTTGTGCTGGTCTGAGTGGATCAGACACAGCAGTGCTGCTGGAGTTTTTAAACACCTCAGTGTCACTGCTGGACTGAGAATAGTCCACCAACCAAAAACATCCAGCCAACAGCGTCCTGTGGGCAGCGTCCTGTGACCACTGATGAAGGACTAGAGGATGACCAACACAAACTGTGCAGCAGCAGATGAGCTATCGTCTCTGACTTTACATCTACAAGGTGGACTGACGAGGTAGGAGTGTCTAATAGAGTGGACAGTGAGTGGACACAGTGTTTAAAAACTCCAGCAGCACTGCTGTGTCTGATCCACTCAGACCAGCACAACACACACTAACACACCAACACCACGTCAGTGTTACTGCAGTGCTGAGAATGATCCACCACCCAAATAGTACCCGCTCTGTGAGGGTCCATAGGGGTCCTGACCACTGAAGAACAGGGTAAAAGGGGGCTAACAAAGTATGCAGAGAAACAGATGGACTACAGTCTGTAACTGTAGAACTACAAAGTGCTCCTATATAGTAAGTGGAGCTGATAAAATGGACAATGCGTGTAGAAACAAGGAGGTGGTCATAATGTTATGCCTGATCATTGAACATTTCTTTATATTTAATATTGCAATATTGCTTTAAAACGTGACTAAAACAGTGAAACGGTGTACTCACCTTTCCCGTAAGTGCTGAGGGAAATTCCGACTCAAATTTATTGCTGAGTCCAAACCTGGGGGTTGATTAAAAACAAAGCGCAGTCAACATTTGACCTCATTTCTTTCAGCCACATTTATCAGTCTTTTATCACTGTGTTGTGGTTCTTACTGCCTCGGCTACAGCTTTTTTACCTCACCACCTTCATGGCACACTTCCACATTTTGCTGCTCTAATAAAAGTGTTTTAGATCAAGAACGACTTGATCTTTAGCTAATGATGTGATTTGGACGGAGAGGAGAGAATGAAACTGGCCACTGGCTCAAAACATAATTATAAAATCCTGCTTCCTAAAAGATCCACTGTGCTGCAGATCAACCGCTGAGGAAATCTATAAAAATGTCTGCATAATTAAAGGGTTAAGATGTAAACCAAGTCATTCAGAGTGGTTTGGTGTGAAACGCTCTGTTTTAGAGTCAGAATTGTTCACAGTGGTGATGATAGGAACCAGACATCCACCTCTAAAAGCTCCCTCACAGAAAGTATTTACATAAAATGGGTATTCACTGCTTGTTGTCTTAGACACTAGTTTTGAGAAGATTTTGGCCTTAAATGTTTTGTTGATCCATTTATTTTAATCTATTCATGGTGGAGGGATATACGCAGGGTGTTGTGAGGCAAAATAGTCCTTAAAAAGGTCTTCATATTTCAGATTTTCCACTATTTTACCATCGTCAGCATTCCATATGAAAAAAACTCACGTCTAGGTTCACTGGTGGTTTTGGATAGTAAATAAAATGGCTATATTTGTGTTGTAGTCATGCTGACCCCTGGTTCCTATCACCATCACCTTAAAGACCTCTGAGTCTCTACAATCAACCATTTCACCCCAAACCATTCTGAATGGGTATTTCACAAAGCAGGACCGTCCTAATTAAATCGCTAATTGAGCCAAAGCTTAAACCTGTCCTATAAGGGAAGATGCTGGGGACGTTCCTACTAGGCATTCCTCAGTTTGGGCTTAAATGATCCAGTACGCTACAGTAAGTACACTGTGATTGGTATGCTTTCCTTCATTGCTGGTCTTAGATGGTCACTATGGTGGCCAAACCATTTTTAGCCTAATAAAAGCACCTTACAGTTAATTCTGCTAGACTACAGTAAGCTCAGTAAGGTCATCATCTGTCAGGTGGTGGTGGACTGTATGATGCCAAACCATGTACAGCTTTAAAAACATGCTTTATGGCCTCCTGCCATTCCCTGGGGGCCAAATGGGTGAGTGAGGTGGTGAGTGGACTTTACGAAGATCCAAAAAGCTGAAAAACTAACAGAAGAACTTTAATATCAATTCCACTAGAAAACACTAAGCTCAACAGTTCATCCACTGACCAGTCTTCTGCTTCAGCACCAACAATATGAGCCTCCTACCATCCCTAACAGGTTGGTGGTGGGTGGACTCTATGAAGATCCCAAAGGCTTAAATTACAATTAACAGAAAAAAAAACATTGAAATTTATTTTATCAGACAAAACTAAGCCCATCTGACCAGGCTGCAGCTTCAGCACCAACATTATGAGCCTCCTACCATCCCTAACAGGTCAGTAAAGGTGATGAGTAGATTGTATGAAGTTACCAAACCAATTCTAGCACTAAAAACTAACAGAAGAACCTTAAAATCAATTCTGTTACAGAACAAAAGGCTCGACAGTTCTACTTCAGAACCAACCTTTTGGGACTCCGACCATCCCGAACAGGTCACTAAGATGGTGAGTGGACTGTATGAAGATCCAAAAGCCTTAAAACTAACACTAAAACCCTAAAACCAGTTTTACTAGGCAAAACTAAGCCCATCCACTGACCAGCCTGCAGCTTCAGCCCCAACACTATGAGCCTCCAACGGTCCCTAACAGGTCACTAAAGATGATGAGTAGATTGTATGAAGTTACCAAACCAATTCTAGCACTAAAAACTAACAGAGGAACGTTAAAATCAAGAACCTTAAAATCAATTCTGTCATAGAACAAAAGGCTCGACAGTTCTACTTCAGAACCAAAATTTTGGGACTCCTACCACTGAGGAGTGGTCACTAAGATGGTGAGTGGACTGTATGAAGGTCCCAGAGGACTAAAACTAACAGAACGACCTTAAACGTAGGCTGTATGAAGATCCAGAAGCCTTAAAACTAGCACTAAAACCCTAAAACCAGTTTTACTAGGCAAAACTAAGCCCATCCAGTCACCAGCCTGCAGCTTCAGCCCCAACACTGTGAGCCTCCTACCATCCCTAACAGGTCACTAAGGCGCCGAGTGGACTGTATGAAGACCCTCAAGGCTTAAAACTAATAAAAAACCGTTAAAATCAATTATATTGCATAGAAATAAGCCAAATCATCTCAGTAGCCTTCTGCTGTCCGGCCTCCTGCCCCTCCTCAGGTGTCAGTGAGATGGAGAGTGGACTGTCCGGTAAAAGCCGGTAAGTCAGCTTCTTATTCGCCGGCTTTTTCTCCGTTCCACCTTAAATGGAGCAGCAGTTCCATTCTGGCACCTCAGGCATCATCATCACCAGAACGTAACTGCTGCCCCATTTAAGGTGGACCGGAAAAATTCGACACAAGAAGCTGGCGGACAGGAAGCGGACAGTTAAGATGGTCCAGTGGGCTGCTGTTAAGTGTGTTAAAGGTGGTCTTACACTGTGACCCGGCCCGATCCCCGAACCAGCACCGGCTCCGGGGCGTATTTGAGCAGCTGCTCCTCCGCGGCCCTCTGCTCGTCCTCCTCTTCTTCGTCCTCCTCCTCTTCCTCCTCGTAGATCTCATCAAAGTCCTCCATCATGACCCGCCTCGGCCTCCGGAGAGCCGGAGGAGACTCTCTAACCCGCTCAGGCTTCAAAACCGGCGCCGGTTTATCGATTATCGGCGTTTTATTCCCGTTTTCGTGATTATTATTGACGAGCCGAGCCACAACAACATCAACATCCGCCTCACCTCTCGCCACTTATCGCGAGGTTTCGAGGCGAGAGCGTGACGTCGCAGCTTCTCGGTTCTGAACTTGATAAATATTTATTAACTCCAAGTTACACAGTGAATGGGCAAAATTATTATTATTTAAAAAATATGAAAAAAAAAATAAAATTCCGCGTGCTTAAAGCGTTTGAGAGCTTCGCGCCATCCGCTGGAGTATAACTACTATCGTTCTGTTAAAGGGGAATTCCACCGATTTTTAAAAATTCTTCCATAATTCAGTGTTTGAGATGTAAACAGAGTCATTAAGAGTGGTTTGGTGTGAAATGGTTGATGGTAGAGACTCTTTACAGTGGTGGTGATAGGAACCAGGTGTCACCATGACTACAACACAAATATAGCCATTTTGTTTACTATACAAAACCACCAGTGAACCTACAGGAGTCTTTATACAGAATGTTGATGATGGTAAAATAGTGGAGAATCTGGAAAAAAAAGTCTGTTTTGCCTCACAGTGCCCTGCCTGTACCCGTCCACCATGAACAGATTAAAATAAATAGATTAACAAGATATTTAAGGCCAACATCTTCTCAAAACTATCGTTAAACAACGTCTCGGACATCAGGCAGTGAATTCATAACCATTTCATATGTGAACTTTCTGTGAGGGAGCTTTTAGAGGTGGACATCTGGTTCCTATCACCACCACTTCGAACAACTTGAACAAATCCATGAATAGATTAAAATAAATGGATCAACAAAACATTTAAGGCCAAAATCTTCTCAAAACTAGTGTCTAAGACATCAGGCAGTGAATTCATAACCATTTCATATGTGAACTTTCTGTGAGGGAGCTTTTAGAGGTGGACGACTGGTTTCTATCACCACCACTGTGAACAACTCTGTCTCTAGAACGGAGCGTTTCACACCAAACCACTCTGAATGACTTGGTTTACATCTTAACTATTTAATTATTCAGACATTTTCTAGACTTCATCAGCTGTTGATCTGCAGAGATCTTTAATGAAGCAGGATTTCATAATTAATGTTTGAGCCTGCAGTGTGAGTCTAGGCCTGTGACCAGTTTCAAGCTCTTATCTGTTTTTAAATGATGTAAACTGGGTGGTCCTAATCTTGGGTAATGCTTCCGTAAGCACTCCCCTGACCAATCATAAGGCTGCGTCTCTTGCTCCGCCCACACAAACCAGTTTCAGAGTCAGAGAAACTCAGTGAGCTAAAGTTAACCCAGCAGAACCAAAAGCTAGCAAGCTAGACCGCCTGTCTGTCGCCCGTTCATTCGTTTATCTACACACCAACACTGTTCGCCCACCCACTCCTTCATTCACATATTGCTTTGTCCGTCCATCTGCATGTCTGTTCGTCCGTGACTTTTGTCGTCCAGTTAGCGTCACATAAAAGCTGAATAATGATTTTAGTACTGTATGAGCAGCAGAGCCATAGATATACATACCGAGATGCCGCGTTGCCTGTTGTTCTCTATCTGAGGCGATACGTCTGCACGTCCGCCATGTTGGAGAGGTCAAGATCCGCTTGTGAACAAATTCACTTGTATTGAGAGACGATGAGTCTCAGAATTAGATCAGCCACAACTTCCTTACTACTGAACTGATTTGCACCAAATCTGTTTTGTTATAATCCTCAGATTAATCTAGGTTACACTGCTCTCGGTAACTTTTATTACTTTAATAACTGATCGTGCTAATTAGCCGTCTGGACCAGCAGGAAAGTAGTCAGTCTGCACCTGACATTAAAAACCGAGTTTAGCGCAAGTAAGAAGGACGAAGCCGAAGTTGGCTTCCTATTCGCCAGCTTCTTGTTCATATTTTCCAGTTCCACCTTAAATGGTGCATCAGCCAGCTTGTTGTTTGAATTTTCCCATTCCACCTTAAATGGTTCAGCAGTCACTTTCTGGTGCCTGAAGCTGCACCATTCAAGGTAGAACGGGAAAATTCGAACAAGAAGCTGGCTGATGCACCATTTAAGGTGGAATGGGAAAATTCAAACAAGAAACTGGCGAATAAGCAGCTAACTTCGGCTTCGTGTGAGAAGATGCTAACGTTAATCTATTATGAACATCTACATGGATTAAGGAGTGCTGTAACTTACCTAGAAAGCATTAACCATCATTGTAAATAAATAAATACCACGACGTTAAGATCCCCTGAATAGACTATTAAATGAAATAAGCTTAATATAAAACCAGAGGAAAAACAATCACATCAACAGGTTCTCTTATTTTTTATTTAAGCTTTGCTGGATGTTTAATATAACACTCAAGTTTAGTTTAGAGACTGTTCACTGGTTGAATAACAAACAGGGAAGCTCATAACACTCAACATGGCGTCTGTCTGCAGAGAAAGTCCCGGCCTTCAAGACAAAGAGCCAATCAGCTTGCTGGAGGAGGGTCGACGATATTGTGCTGCTAGCGGGAAAAGACATTGTGGAAATCTGGCCAGAACAAGTCGAAAACCGCCATGGCAGCGGTGAGAGATGCTGTAATTTGTAAATAGTTGTCATTGTGCAGTTAAAAGATGTAGATATGGGTTACTTGTGTGCTGCTGTGCTGGGTTGTGGGTAATTGGGGTAGTGTTGGTAATTACCGTCAGGGTGAAGTGCTGAGCAGCGGGTCTTCCATACTGCAAGGTTAATTAAAGCACTTGATTGAGGCGCTACGATTCCCGTGTCGTCTTCTTTTACGCCGATGCCACAATTTGATTATTCAACAACAGGTTTCAGTTAAACTGAAGCATCAAACTGTAGATTTAGCAGCTTTTATTTTATCCATAAATATGCAAACATTCCACATTTATTACAGTGCAGTCGGACAGAGCAGTCTCGATATTCAGCCGTTCAGCAGCAGCGTTTTCAGACAGCGTTTCTGCCTTCACTCCTCCCACGCATCTCCATATTTGTTTTTCTTCACTGCACAGAGAGAAGAGCAAAGATCAGACTTCAGAAACCTAAAATCTGTTCTACACGGTGTTCAATACAACCTTATAACTAGACTTGCACCGATTTAAAGTTAGACATACAGTCAAACGCAGTATTGATGACGGCGATGAGGAAATGATACCAATGATAAATTCCAACAAATAAATGCCAATCATTCATAAAGTGGAACATTATAAATACCAGGACCTACAAGCTAGTCAGGTTAGAGAGCGTTATTATTGGTATTGATACTTAGTACTGGTCGATATTCAAGGATCAGGTATCAGTATCGGAAGGGGAAAGTAGTATCGGCACATCTCTGATTATAATTTCTTGAAGGAAGACTAAAGATGAAAATGTAGACAAATAATGTGCAGTACTGTTACTGCTCGATCTAAGGAGGAGGAGCGACTAACTGCATGCTAACTGAAAACAGCAGCGCTAATTAAACTGGTTGTATTAATTCACTGAAGTTATAAAGACTGTTTCAGCCTGGGCTGCATTTTGAATAAGCCTACTTACCACAGGTAAAGGGGGGTTTACGCTACTTTACTCCATGCCTAACAACACCCCTTAAAATCCCAGTAACACACAGGTAAATGGGAGGTTTACTCCACTTTACTCCATGCCTAACAACACCCCTTAAAATCCCAGTAACACACAGGTAAAAGGGGGGTTTACTCCACTTTACTCTATGCCTAACAACACCCCTTAAAATCCCAGTAACACACAGGTAAACGGGGCGTTTACTCCACTTTACTCCATGCCTAACAACACCCCTTAAAATCCCAGTAACACACAGGTAAATGGGAGGTTTACTCCACTTTACTCCATGCCTAACAACACCCCTGTAGCACAAGTCCTCTCATGGATAGTTGCTGTAATCAGCAGCAACAAATGTTAACAGTGAACAGTTCTGACCCTGGTGGGATGGTCTCTGCTGGGGGTTTGTTTCCTGTTTCAGAGTGACCTCATAGCTCTCCCTGTTCCTGCTCCACAAATCCCCGCAAAGAATCTTCCTTTTCTGCACCTAATCATCATCAATATGCTCTATTACAGGTGAGGAGTTAGAGATTAGCCACTAGCCAACAAACAATGGAAGCTTATACCCCACCAATTAGCACAGCGCTAACCTCAGCCTCAAAGCAGAGACCATCCCACCAGGGTTAGAACTGTTCACTGTTAAATTTGCTGCTGCTGATGACAGCAACTATCCATGAGAGGACTTGCGTTACTGGGATTTTAAGGGGTGTTGTTAGGCATGGAGTAAAGTGGAGTAAACCCCCCATTTACCTGTGTGTTACTGGGATTTTAAGGGGTGTTGTTAGGCATGGAGTAAAGTGGAGTAAACCCCCCATTTACCTGTGTGTTACTGGGATTTTAAGGGGTGTTGTTAGGCATGGAGTAAAGTGGAGTAAACCCCCCATTTACCTGTGGTAAGGAGGCTTATTCAAGAAGCAGCCCAGGCTGAAACTTCAGTGAATTAATACAACCAGTTTAACAGCCTTGTAGCACCAAAACCAAGGAAGAAAGGAAACTTTAGATGCCAAAGATGACGTAGCTGATTTAAAGGGGGTTGATTCTGCATAATTCAGAGGTTGAGATGTAAACAGAGTCATTCAGAGTGGTTTGGTGTGAAATGGTTGATTGTAGAGACTCTGATTTCTTTACAGTGCTGGTGATAGGAACCAGGAGTCGCCATGACTACAACACAAATAGAGCCATTTTTTTTACTATCCAAAACTACCAGTGAACCTACAGGAGTCGTCTGAGTTTTATATGGAATGTTGATGTTGGTAAAATATTACAAAATCTAAAATACAATTTCTTTGGGGACTATTTTGCCTCGCAACACCCGGTGTGTATCCTTCCACCATGAATGGATTTTGAGGCCAAATCTTCTTAAACCTTTTGTAAAACAGTGTCTCAGACATCAGGCAGTGAATTCATAGCCATTTCACGTAAGAACTTTCTGTGAGGGACCTTTTAGAGGTGGACGTCTGGTTCCTATCACCACCACTGTGAACCATTCTGACTTGGTAAGTTTCTCTAGAACGGAGCGTTTCACTCCAAACCACT